CCAACCATATAAATAACTAAAGCTATAAATCCTAAATGAGTAAGAATTTTTCTGGCCCTAATTTAAAACCTAAAAATTTCAGAAACTTCAACTCCAAAATTCTCTAAGCTCAGGCCATATAAATGTAAACTATGGATATGTACAGCTTCGTGGCAATGGTATCTACATTTTATCTTTAAAAATGGAAGCCTAACAACGCCTATATGAATAGTTCAAAAGTCAGAAAACTCACCTTACAAGAGGGTATCATGTTTTGAGTTTTAGCAGCTTTTGATGAGTTCTAGTGATTGGGTTAACTTCCTCAAGTTCCCAGGAAGCTAATGTGATGCTTGGCTTGTGCTGAAAGTGGCTAAGGAGTTCTGGAGAAGTCAAGTTGCAAACCCCTGTTTTTGAAAATGGAACTTGATGATGGAGGTGTTACAGTTGGGAAAAAGGATTTTGGATGGTTTGTATTTGATGTTTAGAAGCTTTAGGAACCAAAAGGCTTGGAAACACACGAGGGAAATGTAAGTTTCAAGTTTTGGTCAGATTGTACAACAATGGAGTTTTTGTGTCTGATTCTAAGTTCTAGGGAGTTTGAGGGCTTATGTGTGCGTGTGTTAGCTTGCAAATGATTTGTATATTTATAGGCAAGAGGTCTTGTATGTTACAATAAGCCATAATTTGAAAATCCAAGTTGTAGCATCTTTACTTATTTTTGAAGCAAAGTTGAAACATCTTGTTCCAAGGCAAGGTACAAGGCTGCATAGAGTGGTTAGTACTTTAGACACGCTTGCTTTTGGTTTATAGGGTTTGTGTGTGCAGAAAGAACAAGTTCAATGCTCAAGGAGACTGGACTTTGTGATTAAAGTCACTTTTCAAGAATAACAATGGTGCCTTTCTTCCAAAAATGGAAATGCAACTTGGATAATGGTTCAAATACTTGGAAAATGGCTCAATATGTTGTGTAAACATTTAATTAAGGAGTGAATTGCAAGTTATAATCCTGAAAAGTGAGGTTATGCAGCATGGCTATGTGATTTGGTCCATTGTGCATCACAAATTTTGCCTTATAAAACAACTTGAAACCCTAACTTCTGACCTTCGATTCTCCTTGCTCAAAAATGATCTCAAGGAGTTCTTGGACATTTTGGAAAGCTTGTAATATGCTCTAAAATCCCTATTTGAATAACTTTTGAAAAATCAAAATGGAACTATGTGAAACTTGACCCATAAGTTAGGTCAAAATCCTGACCAAAATGCTCAAAATTTCACTAAGTGTTTTAGTTTCATGACCATGATTTCATGGATCAATAACTTGAAATACAAGCATTTCTAGGAGGAGTTATGTTCAGAAATATTTTAGATGTCATTTATATCTACAACTTTCATGTTGAAAGTTTCCTTTGAATCATCTTGCATCATGGTGAAAATTTGGCTCAAAATTGTGAAAAAAGAAGAAGTTTTCAACACTTAGAAAAATTTCTAAGTTTGGAAACTTTGACTTTTCAAAATAAAATCTTGACTTTTTGATTTCTTGATGAACAAGTTTCATATTTTGACATGTTTTGATGAATTGTGATCTTTGACACTTGATTTTGACTAAAAAGTCAAAGTTTGACTTTTTAGTATGTAGTTAACTTTTGATTAGTTGACTGAAAATTAACTATCAATTAATTGACCTTGAGCAATGTTTTGAGTTATGCCATTAGGTAAAAATGATGCAATTGAATCCTTGAGATCATTTTTCCAACCAATCAACCATTTGCTAGGTCAAAAATCAGAAATTACCTTTTCTCAGTCAAAACCCTAATTTTGACCATTTTGCCCTTTTGATGATCTGATCAAATTTCTTGAGGAATTATGGTACAAACTTGATAAAATGACATATATGAGATCATAATGTTGACATGGATCAAAATTATGAAGTTTGACTGTAAATTGACCACAGTTGACTTTTTCCCCAATACAATTGATTTTTAGGTCAACTAATAATTAACTGAGCAAAAATGTGATCCAAGACTTGAAACTTGACATGAGCAATCTTGAGGGTCCATAATGATCCATGAAAGTCATATGAGGCATTAAAAGTTCAATTATCCTTGTGCAATCTCAAACCCTAATTTTCAGTCATCAGAGCTTAAGGAGGTGTCTTGAGCTGATCAACCCTAGTGCTGTCTTGAACCAAAGGAGATCTTGTGAGAAATTACTTGATAAATGAGAGAGAAAATTTTGGGGTACAACACAATTTGATAAGTCATCAACATGAACTAGAGGACCCATATACCCTAAGGTTTTATCAGCAAGAGTGAAATGGATAATCACCTGGGATGCATATATTGCTTTTTGTTATGCAGAAAGTATGGGTGTTGGCACAAACTCTTGATTTCCAACCATATTGAGTTTTTATGCATGACCAATGGGTTTAGATACATCATCTTTGTTCTTCACGTCCTTGCTAGCCTTGATGTTTTTCTTTGTAGGTGTCTTTGATGGAGAAGTTTGAAGGTTTGAAGAAAGAAGAAGAAACATTCACAAGTGTTCAGAAAAGCTAATGGATGTTGGAAAAGTGTTTTCTAAGATTAAGGAAAGGTAGTTATAAGAGAAAATGTTTCAGTTTTATTTTTTGGATGAAGTATAGTGAGACGCATGTCAACTTTCTATAAGCTAAGCAAGTGGTTACTTTTTGGGAAGCCACGATTTCTGCCTACATTAGTATGGTAATGGTGAAACTCCATAAAAGCACGTCTCGATGGGACGTTTGAAGGAAATAATCATTATGACCATGACGTCATGAACAATAATGATCATCATGAGACAGTTGTATTGAAATTTGAGGCTATTCAAAAATTGTTCATTTCTTCAGATATTTCGAAATACACAATTTTGGGGGGCAATTTGTTAGCTTGAAATTTCAATAATAGAGTATAAAAGATAAAAAATTGTAGACAAAGTTATTTCTGAGAAAGATGTTTGATGGAGATTTCGACTGACTGTTTGTTAAGTGGTTCAAATGATTATTTCTGGATGAACGGTCGAAGATCAAATACTTAAAGAGGATTATATGTTGAAGAATTTGAAGTATTTAAGTTTGAATTTGAATAGTCTTGTTGAAGTTTTGGCGCTCTTCGCAGATAGAAGAATTCGAAATTCAAGTCTTTAATCTTATCCAGAAGACGCGTAGAGGCCTATTAATTTAAAGAGTCTGCATGTCGAGAATGTGGCATCTAGATGTAGAAGGACCGTTAGGGTCGAATTAGTATATATAGGAGTCTTAGTGATAAGATTGAGTGTGTTTATTTGTTTGTACAAAATCTCACAAAACTCAAAGTATTTGCGTATTGAGAAAAGAGTCATTTGAGAAATGTACGTGCAAACACCTTTTTATTTCAATAAAGTTTATCATTTAAGAAATCTATTTTAGGAATTTACTTTCAGTTGTTTTACTGTATTTTATTTACAAGTTTCGTAAACTTTACTTTAGAAAGTTATCTAAATTGAAACCAATCTTTTCAAAGAACTATGAATGATGTCGAAGTATTCTTTTTTTCAAGAATAAGAGGTTGAATTATAACACATGTCCTAGGATCAATCTAGTGATCTTGTGAGTAACTAAAGACTTTTTTGTTGTTTTTAGAAGACTAGCGCTTGTTTATCAATTTTTACGGTAAACAGAATGGAACGCTCAGATGAATGATATATGTTAGGCATAAACATAGCATTTAAACACATTTCAGACAAACATCACACCAAACATGCTTGAAAACATATTTGATTTAGTACACTACAAAAAGATAATGGAGAGTTAAACGATCATATCAATTTGATGATCTAGACTTTTAACTTGCTGCATACAAAATAATTTGTAAACGACAACAATAATAACCAAAGCACAATAAAATCTAATATAAATAATTGGATATAATTTCCTTAGCACGTCTAGAAATCATTTTCAGACACTCATTTACAAAATATCAGATGAATTGGAATAACATATGCTATGGTTATATTTGACTATCATTTTTTTAAGCAGATGATTAGCTACTTCATTGCTTTGAACTTATACTTTGACAATCTTGAATAACTAATTTAACACTTTGACAATGATATGGATCTTTCAAAACTTAATGCTCTGAATCTTCTTAGATACTTGTTGATCAATCAGTGAACACGCCAACATCTTTACAAATCTATCTTCATCTTCCTTTACGATGACCTGGAAAAGTAGGTCTACAAGGAGATGCTTCTTATCTCTTATCATTATTCTTTCACAAAATTTAAAACATATATATTGTATGACAAAATTAGTTAGCTTTAAGAATAATCATGATGTAAGAATGGTCTTTAAGCTATACGACTAAGTTTCTGGTTATCTGCACATAACTCAAATCTTTGTTAGCTCAATCATGAATGGATTTAGTTACTATTAAATTATATCACATGGTTATAGAATTGTTATTAAATTATATCACATGGTCATAGAATTGTTAACCTACTAAATATGAATTATTTAAGATAACTGCAGATCATTCAAATAATCACATCAATCATGTAGTAAGATGACTATGGGGAAATACCCTATAGCAGTGCGATCACCTTCAACATTGTCATAAAAAAAGAGTGTGTCAAAGGAAAGTTTCTTTATCAAAAGTACCACCACAATTCAAAACTATCATACACATTTTTATTGATTAGAACAGAGTGACTATCAACTAAATGGTGAGAATCTGAACTAATAGACGTTTTTCTTCTAACTAAAGGAGAAGAACTGTTATTTTCTAAATCACCCGATAGATTTACATGGTGATCATTTCTACGAGCCATGGCAAAAATAAAGACCAAATGCAAAGAAATAAATGCATGGAATATGAAAATAAGTGCAAAGATAATAACTTATTTTATTCTCCATTTGCGTAAAAAAATAGCATATTATTAAAAGAAAACGACTAATTATTAAGTTGATGAAAGAAATATGAAAGAGCAAATTAGCTTTACAAAAAACACCCGCCTTAAAATATAGGCTAAGCACCCCTAGCTTTTGCCTCATGAGAACTTTGACTGAGATCATGAAGTTCACAGTCTTTTGCCATCTGACAAAGCGACTCATGAGAAGAACCAAACACAGACAAAGCTTTCTCTCCACTTATCTTATACTCCTTAACTTTAACCCTCATTGCTATACCTTCTTTCTCCACCATCACTCTTCTAATCAGTTCTGCTATTTGTTCTCTACAAACAACCCCTCCCTCCGCCGCGGTCGCACGCACCGCCACCCCTAGCTCCTCAGACAACATAGTAGCATTCATCTTCTGTTCTGCATAAAGCGGCCACGCAACCATCGGAACACCACTAAGGATACTCTCCAACACAGAATTCCAACCGCAATGCGTAACGAAACCACCCGTCGCGGGATGTTTCAAAATCTCAGCCTGTGGGGCCCACAACGGGACACAATTCCCCACATTCTTTGTCCTGCTCACAAACCCCTCCGGTAAATAATCTTCCACCGTAAATCCGTTACCATCCTTCATCGTGTCGAAAAACGCCGCACACGCATCACCTTGCACGGGCTGCTTCACCACCCAAATAAACCTCTGCTGACTCAACTCTAACCCATAAGCCAACTCCCTCATCTGAACTTCCGACATGGTCCCACCACTCCCGAATGACAGGTAAATCACCGACTCAGCTGGTTGCCGGTCCAGCCATCCAAGAATTAAATCTTCATTCTCACTTTCTCCCTCCTTCTTCTCCACCGGTTCAACGGTTCTTACAAGCGGTCCAACCGGATAAACCGGTCTTTTTATAAACTGTCCCAAAATATCATGATCATTAACCGCCTTAGTAGCACCTGGCTCCAGATCCTTCCATGTATTCATCAAAATCCCATCAACGGACAGTATACTCCGTGCTGCATTAACGTAACCTTCGTGAATAGGCCCCCAGGGAGAAACAAAAGTTTCCAGTGTATCTTCAAACCGAACCGGTTCACAACCCGGAATCAAAAGCGGTTGGTGATTATTAGCATGTCTTGAAAACGCTTCGTCAGTGATGAAAGGAAGATACATAGTAACAGCAGAAAACCAAGCGTTGGTGGCAAAGAAAACGTAGGTAGACATGTTAAGATCACGTGCCATGGGCAAAGCCATAGTACCAAAAAGGTCCACGATAAGAACCGATGGTGGAAACTTCATGGATAAGATTTGAGATCGAATAAAAGGAAGGGATTCAAGCATAGTTAAAACGATTTGTAAACCTAAGGATGGGTTTTTTGGGTCAAGTTTGTCGGAGACATCGACAGGAGGTGTAACAATGATGTCGATGCCATTAAGGTTGGATATTTGTTGAAGTATTGGTGATTTTGTTGTTTCTGAGGAATCTGTGGCGGTTGTGACGACGAAGATGGTGACGTCGAAACCGTGGTGAGTGGTAAGGCGTTTACTTAATTCCACTGTGGGAATTAGGTGTCCAAGACCTGGGCTGGCTAGAAGAGCTGCATGAGTTTTTGTGGTCACCATGGTTTTAATGGGAAAGAGATATGAAAGCTTATCTCTATTTCATAGACCGAGCTTAGTTTCTTGAATATGTGGCTTGTGTAAGTAATCGCATGCTTATATTGTAATTTTCTCGTGCTGCGCATTGAATTTTCTTTAATAAGTATTAGATGTTATTTTTCATAAAATAAATTTGGACTTTTTTTTTAAATTTTAGCTATGGAGACTTAATCACCTTAGTTTTTTCATCCATTTTATTAGTCAAAATTAATGAAAAAGACTTTAAAAATGTATTGGTTTAGAACAACTTTTTTGATCGATTTATCAATATAAATCCAAAAATAAAACACAGAATCAATCACTAAAAATATTTTCAGAGTTTTGATTATTGTTCTTTATTATTATTATTTTTCTTCAAAATCTAATTCTTTATCTTCTTGAACAGTTGTTTTATAAAATGAGTGGTGATACTCCCGTTTGATTTATGTTTGTGGTATTCGATTTAGATTGGCAGCAAGAGTGTTTGACTAATGTCTTTGCTCTCATGAAGGAACCAAAGTTAGGAGTCATATTTCTAATAAATTCCCAATTTGAATTCTTGTTTTTATTGTCTCTTGTGTAATTACAATTTGAAATCCATGATTTTCACAAAGTGTCTCTCTGCATAATCATCCTCGTTTAAAGTTTTTTTTTGTCATTTGTGAACAAAAAATGGATCCTTTAAATTTCGGTTCGTTCACGAGTCATTTAGAAAAGAGTTTTATAAGGTATTCTGTCGAACATTTGATGGAGTGTACCATTAGATGCACATGCGTATGTTGGAAGATTTGTCATGAAAAAATGTGTCGTTTTTCTATTTAAAAATTTATTTTAAAAAATGGTATTGAAAATATTATCCGATCAAGTTGTAGACTAGTTCATTTTCTTTAAAATGTTGTGGCTGTCTAAAATTATATAAGGCATACTATTAACTAAGATTTTTCTAGAATAAAATAATTTGATTTAATATTAATATAATTATTACTACTAATCAATTTAGAAATATATTATCTATAGTAAAATAACTATTCTAAATAAGTTCTCAGACAGAGAAATTTAAATAATTTTTTAAAGAAAATTTAATAGTGGTCATTTGACCACACTAAATAATATTTTAAATGAAGAGAAACATAAATATTATGTAATTTTTTGAAAAAGGAGAAATTCAAATAATTCTTCAAAGAGAATTAATTAAAATACTAAAAAAAATCAATAGAAAGAAAAAGAAAAAAGTTGATGCTTCTGCAATTCGAGAACGCAAAGTAAAGAGAGCAAGAAAGAAAATAACTCATAAGTAGTTTTTGGTGTGTTTTCAAATAAAACATGTGCATTTCTTATATAATAAAGTAAGCTAGCCATGATATGTAATCTAATCTATGTGTGATTTCGAATTTTTCCTTTTTGTTCTTATATAATGTTGAGAACTACTTACAATGTGTAAGTTAAACAATATGGGACATAGAGTTTTCTCAATTAGCACACAAACACAATATAGAACTTAGAATTTTCTCAATTAGCACACAAACACACATAGTTTTTTTTAACAATGTGAGACATAAGTAATTTTTTTTCAAATTCTTCCCTTTATTGGAGTTTAAACATGTTTCAACAATCCCACACTTGAATGAAAAAAAGTGTTTCACAAGTAACGTCAAATATTTTTAAGATTGTGCATAAACATAAGTGTCTATCACTACAAAAAAAAAAAAAAAAAATTAGCCAGGTGATAATCCCCCACAAATAACAAAAACCTCTCACAAATGCGAAAATTGTGAGGGGACTGCTCCCCTAGCAAAACAGGGGGTCGCAAATTGGATTGCGAATGGATTTCCACATCGCCCATTTGCTTGGGACTAACCCCCTCGCAAAATGCAATCTCAATTTTTGACCGTGCAACATGCAGACGTAGACGTTGGCTAGGGGTTCAACTACTGGTGCAGTGCGTCAGAAAACTTGTTTGGGGTTAAGTCCCTCGCAAAATACAAACGTTTTCCAATGTCTAGGGGTTAAGCCCTTGGAAAAATGTATGTGTTTACGCTTTCCTTGAAGTTTAACCCCTGACAAATTGTAAAAATATTTACAATTTTATAGAAAAATTGTATTGGCATTAATAAAATAAAAAAGTTTAAAAAATTCAAACATAATTAAAATATAATTATAATAATTAAAATTCAATCAAACATAATTATAATTAAAATAAAACTCTATGCAGATTATAATAAAGTTAAAATTAAGTTCAAAATAGTTAACATAAACTCCTCCATACAAATTAAAATAAACTTTAAATTTTCAAATTTAATTATTCTATTCATCTTGTTCCTCTTGCTCTTCTTCAACAACTCCTCCATATCCACTAGTTCCTCCAAATCCACCACCGGAATTTTGTGAAGCAAGATATTGATCAAATATTTATATCCGCTCATTTGCAACCCACATTGTTTCTTGATACTCCAGTGTTTGCCTCCTCATTTCTTCCTGCAATTATGTTTCTCTTCTCTGCATTTCTTGTTGCAATTCTAATTATTTTCTCTTCATCTCTTCAATTTCTGCATTTCTTGCTGCTACTTGGAGTGTTGCCTCAATATTCACCAAGTTTCTCACAACTTCAAGCATTTAGAGGATTAATACATGTGGAGTTGATGTTCCTTCTCCATCAGCAACTCTCATTCTGAAACTCCTATCACGTTGCTTGATAGTTTTGGTGTACCCTCCAGCATCATACACTCTCCCATTTTTTCTTTCCACATAAAAATCATACCATGTCCGAAAACCCACACTAGGGTCAACAGGATATCCCGATTGTGGTCCCGGTATTTCAGGATGCTCTGACAATTTTAGGGCAAGTTCTCTATCAAACTCCTCCTATAAAAAATTAAATGTTATCATGATTCTAATAAGTTAGGTATATATAAAAGAAATAAATAAAATATATTTAATATAAAAAAAACTTACTTGAGTGATTTTTGCATGCTCATCAACAAACTCTCCATTTCTTTTGAGATGAGTCTCCATATGGAGCTCATTAAGAAGTGTTGTTATACCCAACTCTCCACGCTAATGAAATAAGTAAAAAAATAATTAGTTATATGTAATCTAAAAGCTAAATGATAAGTTAATTGAAAAATAAATAAATTTACGTATCATCCTTCGTGTAACTTCAGCAACACTAATATTACCTGCTACGTAGTTGCAGCCACCAACTTCAGATGCTCTATTTTTCTTTTCCTTTTCAGATGTTTCTTTTAATTTTTCAGAATTTCAATGGGAAATAAGCTCTTGGAATAGTTCTTCTCCTATCCAACATGGTGTTGGCTCCTAAATTTGACACCCTTGTTTGTTATCAATATAGACCATTAATTATGAGTCAGAAGAATTTCCTACATAAGAAGGCTTCGACCAGCTGATCCTGTCGAAGGCTCATCAGAGAATGACAAGGTACTTAAAGAATTTCCTTTAAGTGGGAATCTTGTCGTCTTCGACTTCGAAGGAACCTCTCGACAAAGGTACCTGATGCCCAGGGTCGAACGGTTTGAGATTTAAATGCTTGGAGGGAAAACGGTTCCCAGCAGTTACCAAGTGCAACGTGCCGAGATCAGGAGCGTCGAATGCTGTGAGCGTGCCATGTGGCGTCATCTCGAAGCGACGTAACTGCCCAACGGTTACTTAGGATTTGTTTTAGTATAAATACTAGTTGTTCACGTAGTTTTCGAGTGTGTTCATCATTTTATACAAGTCACTCATCTAGATTCAAGTACCCAGTGTGAGCGAAAGAATCGTTGAGAATGTATGTGTGAAACACCATTTAAATTAATCAAAGTCTTTTATATTCAAGCACTTTATTGCTTTTCATTTACTCATCTCCGTCGAAGCCTTTTATTTAACGCTTTTATTTATTCTATCAAGCTTTTCTTCATGCAATTTACTTAAAGTGTCTTTACTTTACCGGCATTAATCACCATTAAGATTAGTCAAACTCCAGAAAATCAACCATGTCTTAGGATCAATCTGATCGATCCTGCGAGTCACCAAATAAGTAACCTTTTGGAAGATAAGCGGTTGTTTACCAATTTCCACGGTAAACAAATTGGCACACCTGGTGGGACCTTGTGTTGATTTTTAAGTTTAACCGTTTTATACAAAATATCCTCCTTTTTCGAGAGTATTGCATGTTATTGAGAAGTGGTAGAATATACACCAACGATACCAATACTAGGAGAAGAAGTGAAGCGATGGCGAATCCGCCAAACAATGGTGAAATCCCACAAACAAACGTGGGAACAACGGTCATCCCAATCGTAAGTGAAATGGTAACCGCTGGTTCAACACCAGCAGTAACGGTCACACAAACGGGGCCATTACCTCCATTTATTGGCCCCAGAATGCCTTTGGGAACTCCCCCACCAAGGGGAAACCAAGGAACTAGGCCTTATGTTCCCCCAGGTTTTTCGACAGTCGGTCTAAATCGAGAACCACTCTATGGCATGCCAACTTCTGAATTGGCTAGCCTGACGAATGCAGCGTCCACTTTTTCAGACCCTTTAGTGAGCGCCTCTTCGCCACTCCAAGGTTCTGGAGTTGGTATGGCGAACAGGGGTAGGACCCAACTCTTAGGAGGAACGTCCCAAGTAATGCATGGCCTTACGAATGCCTCGACAGCAGTCTTGAGGCAGCAAATGGACGAAAGCAACCACAATATGGTTCAAATGTTGGCACAAACTTTAAGCACAGTGCTAAACCCTCTAATACAAAATACCACCCAGTCGAATCAGCAAATGACAGCGCAAATGGCGCGTCTGGCTGACCTTTTGGGGTACCCCAACCTATTCGACAGCCCCAAAGGGCACAGATGAGGGGAAACCAAGGTATACTTCTAGAGGAAGAAACCACTATTAACCAAGTCCAGCAGCCTGTCGAAGAAAACCTTAGGATGCGAATGGAACAACCCGGGGTCGAAGAACCTAGAGTCATAGCCCCGGAAGTAAGGA